TTCTCTTGGCCCTCCTGCAGTTTGTGGGGGGTTTTACATTACGCAATTATCCCCAAAATATCCTCAGACTGGTTTTGTTCCTACAAAAGTATCCCTTTCGCCCGTGCCATCCTTTTTTTCCCTTTTCTCAAAAAAACCCCAAATGGTTTTTTTAAAAAGACAGTGCAACTCCTCCCCCCCCTTCCTCCCTCTGTCTTTCCTGAGGGTTTTAATCCGGGTGGAAAGATTGAATTTTTTATTTTTCTGGTGAGTTTTGTTTTGGGGGAAAGGGTATTATGTCGGGGGGTGGCTTTTTGATTCTTTCGTTTTCCACTTTTTCCCCTTACTTTTTTTTTTTTCCCTCTGCATTTTGTTACCCAACCTTCAACTTCTTTTCTTTAAAACTGTGGTCGGGGGGTGTATTGGGGTTTGGGGGGGGAAGTGGGGAACCGGGGAAGGGAACTATGGGTTGTTGGTGGGGGGGGGAGGTTTTGAAGAGGGGTGGGGGCATTGGATTGGGGAATGGGGATTTAGGTGTTGGTTTTCAGGGGTTGACCTGGTTGGGGGGGGGCTCTAAAAAGGAAGCTGGAGGGGCTTATTTTGATCTTCTTTTCCGGGTCAGTCCCTGCTGTCTTCTTTTCCCTCCCCCCCTCTTTCCTCCTTTCGCCTTTGTTTAAAACCATCCCACTGTTTTCTTTTCCCCCCCCTTTCCTTTTTGTGTTCTGGGGCGCAGTCGAATACACCTTCCTGTATGCCGGCATTTCCCTTAATAGTGCTTTTTTTCCCTTGGGGGAACCCTTTTTCCAAAAGTCGTTTCTCCTTGGGGGGTCATTTTTTCCAACGGTTTCGGGTTTTTTTTTTTTTTTTTTTTTCAAACCCCCCTATTCCCCCCCGGAAATTTTCCGGGCCGGGTCTTTGTCTTTCTTTTTCCTATTGTTTTCCCCATGATCCCTTTTCCAATTTGGGTTTTTTTTTTCCCCCCCTTTGGTTTTTTTTTGCAAATATTTTCCCCCCCCTTCAATTTTTCCTGGACCCCCAATACACAAAAGGGACTGACCCCCCCCTTTTCCCTTCTTCCACTGAAATACCCCTTGGGGGTACCCCCCTCATTAAATTTTTTATTTTCCCCCCATTGAAAGGATTTCCTTTTTTTTTTAAGTTTAAATAGCAAAAGTACTCGGGCTCATTTGGCCTTTTTCTTTTTCCCTTTCCCCCCCGGTTTTCCCCGGGGCTCTGCTTGGTCTTTTAAAGGGCCTCCCCCAATTATAGCTTAGCTTTTTTTTTACTACAGTCCCCACTCCCTTTGAGCTTTTAAAAATGCAGTTTTCCCTCCTTTTCCCCTACAGCCCCCCTTTTTTGGGCCCTGAGGTACCCAGCCCCTCTGTTGTCAACCCCAAAAAAATTTTTTTCTTTAGTTTTTTAAAGGGGCTGTTTAAATTTTTTTTCATTTCCTTTTCCTTAAAAAATCTGTATCCGGGCCCTTTCTGCGTTTTGGGCCCCTTGCGCCCCCCCCTTTTTTCCTGTTTTTCCCATTTCAAATTCCCTCTTTTCCCCCCTTTCTCAGCTAAGCTCTTCTATTTTTTCTTTTTCCCCTTTCCCATTTTCCCTTTTTTGGAGCTCTGCGGCCCAATTTTTCCCTTTGCATTTTCCCCTCCCCCCTGCCCCTTTTTTTTTTCCCTTTTTTTGCTGTCTGGCAACCCATTTTTTTTTTTAAATTTTGATTCCCAGGGGGGAAAACCTAGGGAATTTCTGTTTTTGGGGTTAGTATTGTTTTTATGTCAGAGTGTGGGGGGGGGGAGGTAGGGGAAAGGGAAAATGGCATGTTGGGGGGAGGAGTGGGGGGGGGGGGGGGTTTGGGAAGGAGGGGAAGCAAATGGGTGAAAAAAGAGGGAGAGGGGGAAAAGGGGGGAGAGGTGGGGGGGGGAGGGTGAAAAAAAAAAGGGAAAAAAAAAGGGGGGGGGGAAAGGGGTCAGGGGGAAGGGAAATGAGATGTCGGTGGGGGGGGGGGGGGGAAATGGGGGTTTTGTGTGTGTTTTGTGTGTGTGGTGTGTGTGGTGTGTGTGTGTGTTTTGCAGGGCCCCGATTAAAAAAGTTTCCCCGGGGGCCCAGGCCCATTCAGAAATTTGGGGGGGCCCCTTTGAAGGGTTTCGGGTAAAACTTAAAACGGGCCCCCTTTTCCCGCTTTGGGGTGGGGGGGGTCGGTTTAGGGGCCTGTTTAAAAAGGGCTAATTTTAAAAATTTTTGCTATTTAGTTTTAAAATTTAAAAAAGGGGGAAAATACATCAAGGGCAACCAAAAAAAAAACCCTTTACCAACCCGCCCTTAAAAAAAACTATCTTGTTAAATTTATGCCCTTTTAAAAAAAAAGAATAAAACTCAAAACAGGGGATAAATATTTCTAGATTTTGGGCTATTAAAAAAATAGTGAAAAATTTATGTACCTATTAAATTTAGGGAAACCAAATACAGCACAAAATTTTTTTCCCCCTTTTTTAAAAAAACACTGACCCCTTATTGTTTAAAACCCTTGGGAAACATGCATAAGGGCTTCAAATATATAAACTACAGAAAAATTTGGGGGAGGGAAAAAAAACTCCCCCTACTACCCATTAAGGGAGGAAAAAACAAACTGTTCTGGTGTAAAAAAAAGGCGTTTTGAGGGGTTTTCCTCTATGGGGTTTGGTTTATTTATTTTTTTTTTTTATTTTTTTTTCATTATTTTTTTTTTGTTTTTTAAATTTAAATTTTTAAAAAAATTAAAAAAATTTTAAAAAAAAATTTCCTCCCCCCCCACTTAACTTTTTTTAGGTAGGGACCCCTTTTGGGACTTTCCCCCATGTGCGCAGTCTTGGTGGCCCCTGAAAAAAAAACCCCTTTGGACTGCGGGGCCCCCAAATGCGAGGGGCCCTGGGCAAATCCCTAGTTTGCCTATGCGGTAATCCGGCCCTGTGTGTGTGTGTGTGTGTGTGTGTGTTTTGTGTGTGTGTGTGTGTGTGTGTGTGTGTGTGTGTGTTTGTGTGTTTTGGTGTGTTGTGTGTGTGTATTGGGGTGTGTGTTTGTGTGTGTGTGTTGTGTGTGTGTGGTGTGTGTGTGTGTGTGTGTGTGTGGTGTGTGTTGTGGGGGTGTGTGTGTGTGTGTGTGTGTGTGTGTGTGTGTGTGACATAATTCATATCTCCATAAGTAACTCATTGCGATTGTGACCAGATATAACCATGTAAACAATTTATTATCACTGTAACTTGTTCATCTATCAAAACTTTGGGTCCCAGTCACTGGACCCATTATGTACCTCTGTAATCTTTTGATAGCCGCCCACAGGATGGGTATGAGGTGCATAATAATGATATTAAACTAAATTTAAATGATAACCAGCACATCCTTCAAGGAAGATAGTAGTCACACTTCATTTTATGCACGGTCAGTGAGAACACAAAGCGGACTATGTTTTTCTTGACACACTTCGTCGCTCACATAGTAGAAGTGTTTGTATGTCAAGGCTGCGCACCTGTCCGTCAAAATGATGAATTAAAAAATCACCCCAAAGGAAACAAAATTATTAAATTCATGGAAAAGCGCTAAATCTGTTTGGGTCATACAGTGTCTGGGGAATGTGAGGTTATCAGGTTTGATCTGGGGAAAACAGGAAAAGTAGAGCCTATTCCTTGGATCAAAATCCCTTTACCAGCATTAAGTCAAAACTTTGCCCGTTGAAAGAGTTAAAAATTTAAGTTAATTTGTTAGGTTTGATTACCTTCCATTCCCAAGGTGTAGTATGTCCCTGCTGGTTTAGTGCTTACCCATGATAATAATAATAATAATAATAATAATAAAAAATAATAGTAATTAATAATAATAAAAATAATAATAACTCAAATTTTAATAATATATATATATATATATTATATATATAAATATATATATATATATATATAATATATATATATATATATATAATATATATATATATAGGTAGTAGGTTGGTAGACAGCAACCACCCAGGGAGGTATTACCGTCCTGCCAAGTGAGTGTAAAACGAAAGCCTGTAATTGTTTTAAAATGAGGTAGGATTGCTGGTGTCTTTTGTCTGTCTCATAAAAAAGCAAGATTACGGGTACGTCTTGCTACTTCTACTTACACTTAGGTCACACTACAAAATATTAGTACATGTTTATTTTATACACACTCATCTGAGTTTTCCCCTTTTATTTTATCTTAATAGTTCTTGGTCTTATTACTTTTCCTTTTATATCCATGGGGAAGTGGAATAAGATTCTTTCCTCCGTAAACCATGCGTGTTGTAAAAGTCAACTAAAATGCCGGGAACAATGGGCTAGTAACCCCTTTTCCTGTAAAGATTACTAAAAAGAATAAGAAGAAGAAAATTGTCAAAGTGGGAATCTGAATGTGCGTGGATGTTGTGCAAATGATAAGAAAGAGATGATTGTGGATGTTTTGAATGAGAAGAAACTGGATGTCCTGGCTTTAAACTGAAACAAAGCTGAAGGGGGTGGGAGAGTTTCAATGGAGAGGAATAAAATGGGATTAGGTCAGGGGTTTCAAATAGAGTTAGAGCTAAAGAAGGAGTAGCAAAATGTTGAAGGATAAGCTATGGCAGGAAAAGAGGGACTAACAAATGCATAAATTCAAGATTATGTGGAGTAAAAATAAAGATTGGATGTGAAAAGTGGGTTATAAATAAGCGTATATGCACCTGGAGAAGAGAGAAGTGTAGAGGAGAGAGAGAGATTCTGGGAAATGTTGAGTGAAAAGCGTGGGGGTTTTTGAATCAAGTGTGAGAGTAATGGTGGTTGGGGGTTTCAAATGCTAAAGTGGGTAAAAAAAGTTATGGAGGGAGTATAGGTAAATTTGGGGTGCCAGGGGTAAATGTAAAAGGGGGGGCCTTTAATTTGACTATGTGTAGAAAGAAATTTGGTAATAAGTAATACATATTTTATGAAAAAGAGGATAAATAAATATACAAGGTATGATGTAGCACGTAATGAAAGTTGTTTGTTAGATTATGGGATTGGTGGATAAAAGGTTGATGGGTAGGCTCCAGGATGTACATGTTTATAGAGGGGCAAAAAGATATATCAATCATTTTTAGTTGTAGCTACATTAAATAAGAGGTAATGGGGAAAAAAGGAAGGTGTCCAAATCTGTCAGGTCTCTTTGAAGTTCTGCCGGTCCTCCATCTGATTTAATTCTCCTCATTAACTTCACACGTCTGCGACAGGGACATTCGTGAATCTAAACCCTTCCTTCATGTCGTTCACATATACAAAAATAGCCACTGGTCCTAGGACCGACCACTATGGGACCCCCGCTCGTCACAGTTGCCCACTGTGATACATCATCACTTACCATGATCCGTTGTTGATCACTTCGTCAGGTCATTCTCTGATCCACTGCCAAGTGACCTTCCTGTTATATGAGCCTGATCCTCTTGCTTCTTTCACTAATCTCTTGTGATGAACTGTGTCCAAGGCCTTTTGCAGTCCAAAGAAGACGCAATCAACCCACCCCTCATCTCTAGTATGTTATTACTTCTGTTACTTATTCTTAAAACTCCAGAAGGTTTTTGACACAGGATTTTTCCTTCATGAATCCATGCTGGTTCGCCGTTTAGACTCCTTGTTCCGTTTCAAGGTGCTCCACCATCCTCCTCCTGTATAAATCTGCCTCCGTAACTTTGCCAGACTATAAACGTCAATGGACAACAGGTCTATAGTTTAATGTATCTCTTTTATGTTTCCTTTTTTAAAAATGGGAACACATATGCCGTCATCCATACCTCAGGTAGTTGCCCAGTTTCCAGGGACGTTGTTGAAGATTGTGGTAAAGTGCACACAACATTTCCGCTCCCTCTATCTAAAAGACCCACAGGGAGATGTTTGTCTGGTCCATTTGCCTTTGAGGTATCGATGTTCCTTAGGCAGTTTCTTCACCTCCTCCTCATCTGTATGTTTGTCATCCAAAAACACTTGTTGTGTATATTCATTGGCTGGTGTCCCCATCTGTGTCTGTCCCCCCAGAGGCCTTCCTGTCTCCACTGTAAAACCTTCATTATTCTCATGTTGAGCTCCTCAACATACCTCTTGATCGTTTCTTGTGTGTTCTCCACTTCTTTCCTCAGCCTTATCACCTGGTCTTATGTTGTCTTCATTCAAACGTGGCTATTACAGCAGTTTTGGGTCAGAACTTTGACTTTCGATGCTATGTCGTTTTCGTACTGTCGCTGGGCCTCTCTCCTTATCTGTCGCGTACTCGTTTCGGGCTCTTCTACTAATTCCTTATTTTCCTGGGTCTTTGGATCCACTGTACCTTTCCAGTCTCTGTTGGTGCACTTAGTTTTTGCTACCATCACATTCGGGTAATACAAGGGACACGCTTTCGTTCTTCCTATTATTTCTGGTTCCCTTGGGAACAAACCTTTCTGCCTCCTTGCCACTTTGTTGCTACCATATTCATCATCTAGTTTACTGATTTTCTACAAGTTCTCTGTTCCCACCTGAACCTCCTGCAGGAAGTTAAGTTCGTCATACCTGTGTAGGCCCCCCTTTTGTAGTTAGGCTTTTTCCATTCAATTCCTGTTACCTTCTCCACTTGTAACTTACTATATAATCAAAAACTCAGAACCAGGTGATCGCTAGCTCCAAGAGCACTCTCGTTAAGTGATGTCCTCAATGTCTGAAACTGCTCAGGGTGAACACAAGATCCAGTGTGTGTTGTGTGTGTGTGTGTGTGTGTGGGTGTGTGTGTGTGTGTGTGTGGTGTGTTGGTGTGTGTGTATGTGTGTGTGTGTGTGTGTGTGTGTGAGCCCCGTGTGTGTGCGTGCGTGTTGTATGTGTGTTTGGCGTGTGTATGTGTGCGTGTGTGTGTGTTTGCCATGTGGTATTTGCGTACTCATATATGTGTGAGTGCTTTGGACTCGTGGATGCATGTATGACTCGTGTGTGTTGTGTGTGTTGTGTGTTTCCCAAAAATTAATATTTACACCAGTAACTCATTACAGTTGTGACCGGGTGTTGGACGTGTGAATTGCTAATTACTCTGTAATTTGCTCATGATTGTTAGACATGTTATAAACGTAGCAAGTAAATTTACTTATCCGTACATGAATCATTACCTTGTACCTAGTTCAGGTATCAAACTTTGGGGGCCCAGTACCCTGGGACTTATTATGTTACCTCTGTAATCTGTAAATACCTATTGTAACTTGGATGATTGTACCAGATCTACCTTTGTAACTATTTCAGCTATCATTAATTTCGGGATCCAGTCCTGGACCCATTATGTACCTAAGTAATCTTTTGAATACGCCCACATGCATGGGTATGGGGTGCATAATAAACCATATTAAACTAAACTAAGTCCCTTGCCACGTAACGCTTCTCTGTATTACTAGTCTATTGCCTCTCCGGACCTCCTTTGATTTGTATTAAGGATTGGGAGAATATGAGAGATCGCCGTTTTTTTTAAACAATAGAAATATTCTTCTTTTTTCACGTTGACTATTTTTTTTAAACGTTTGACTGGCTGACCTTAGCAGGTGAGAGAAGGCTCTTAAGCAAAGGTTTATGTACTCGGGTGTAACAGCATGGGACTACTGCTTTTCTGCTTAGCGTGGCTGTTAGACGGCCTCCTGCATCTAGTAAGGGTCAACTATTTGTGTCTGTAGAAAGAGGAAAAAGGTCAATACACAGTTAGTTCCAAGGTACTATTCTCTATGTACAAAGTTCAATGCACAACGCAGAAGACAAGAAACAGTGCGAGTATGTACAGAGAAATATCCCAGGTCAGCAGGGACTCGATCCACTACAGGGAAACTGGCAAGGTTCACAAGTGAGACGCTCTTACCCCACTCGGCCAAATGCCTTTAAGTGGGCAGCCCTGGTATACCGCTGTCTATTCCCAGCTCTATTATCGCTTGGGGGCCACCACACTCAGATCTTTGCCGAATTTCCCGACCAGTCTTGTTGACGGGGAGAGACGAAGAGCACAAGCACAAGTCGTTCTCATAATGCCTTACAATGCCCTTGCTGTTGGGTGTATACCCCGACTTTTTTCCTTTTTTTGTAATTCCTTTCTTCTCTCCATTATCTTAAACTATCCCCACTTACCCCTCTACCCCTAGTGGGTCCTTTACCTGTGAGAGTCCCTTGTAAACCAGGAGTGCCCAGCTAATAGAGCAATTGTGGACGAAATGGTAGAGAAGCGTCACTAGGGGGAAACCTTGCCAGTTTTCATCTAGTGAGATCGAGCCCTGCTGGACTGCGATTTTTTCTCCTGTCCAAAGTATTCATGGAGAAAAAAGAGAACCAGTAGTTAAATAGATAATTATTTGGAAAAAAAAAAAAAAGATCGCCCACATGTATTTTATGGCAAGAAAGTGATTCGAGGCACTTTAGTCATATGGGATATTGGCAGTTTGGAGGGTTATGTTGTGTATATTTATACATATATGCTTCTAAAATGCTTTGTATTTCTGAAGCTCCTCTGCAA